GCGCCCTTGGAATTGAACATGTTTCAGCTTGCACAGTGGAGGGGCACAGCTCACAGGACTTGGCTTATATCAGCAGCTTCCTGGGTGGATTCGGCAACATTATGAATGCAGAGTGCTCGGTTAGTAACACTTTTGTTTCCCCTATGGCACCTATTACAGGCCTCTGTACCTGGTAGGCACTGGATAAATTGTTACACTCATGTGAGTTGAGTCAAGAGCCTGGCAGCCTTCCAGGAAGAAGGGATGGAGGGGAGCAGGGAGAGAGGGGAGGAGGGATAGCGGGGGAGAGAGAAGGGAGGAGGGCAGAGGACCCTGGCGGCTCTGTGTATCATTCTACTGTCGTCCATGCAGTCTCTAAGCATCTCATCGGTTTAGAAATTGCACAGGGGGCTGCAAAGAGGAAGGGTGGGGGAAGAGGGCTGCGTGCAGAGCAGCAGAGACTTCCTGCTGATGCGGCAGGTTTTAAGAGCACAACTTGCAGTTTGCCAAAGCCCATGAACCTTGAAATAGAAATATGGACCTCTTAATTCATCTCGCTGTTATTTGATAAAGTATAAGGTAAATGAATGCAGAACCTTTTCCCTTTAATTACACAAGGAGGGGAGGAGCAGAGGCCTGGGGGAGAGAGGCCACAATGAAGCCAATGACACAGAGCAGAGCAGAGGGACTCGGAGTGCGACTCTGATGGCCTTACCCCGGGGACAGAGGCTGAAACCGTGAGCACAATGACAGCAAACTGCAGTCTCCCATGGGAGTGCATTCTGAGAGAGACAACGGGACCGGCTGGACCTTCAAAGCCCAGCAGCCCACTTGGGTTGGGGAAATGCCCCTGGCTCACCTACATTGGGCATCGGAACTGCTCTACAGGGAAAGCCTGTAATGATGGTAACGGCCCCACAGGTAAAAGAAGGCATCCAGCCCCTGCTTCCCTGCTTGAACAGGGCCTAAGCCTCACTTTGTGGTCACTGCTGTAGCCCACACTGAACTTACAGGCCTGCTCTTAAAGTCAACACCCTAGCATGGAAAGGAACAATGATGGTAAGTTCTCTCCCACCCCCCTTAAAAACATGCAGTGTGAGGCTCTGGACCTAAAATCTCCCTCTCTCCTCTCTCCAGATCCTTCTGCAGTCCACCCCAGTCCAACCATCCGAGACTGTCGGTCTTCCCAGCAGGAGTGGTTTGAGGCACGGTCAGTTACATGGAGATGGCATAGAGTGCTGATGCCCCTTATTCAATTTACTTAAAGCCCTAATCATTCCTTCTAGCCTTCTAAGGAACCCATATTGTATTCAAGGGACTTTGATTTGTTAAGGTTGTCCTAGAAAAATAAGAGGATACAAGACTGGGGCTGTGTCTGGTTGGATTGTGTCTCTCTTAATCTTATCTGCTCAAGTTCCTACTCCAGCCCCTGAGAAGGTGAACTTGTTTGGGAACAGGGACATTGTCTAGTTACTGGTTACAAGGGTCTTGCTGGAGTAGGGTCGTCTCTAGTCTAATATTGCTATTGTTCTCATTTTAAAAGGAGATTTGGACACAGACATGGCAAAGAGCAGCATGCCGGAGATAAAGTCAGAGATCAGAGCCACACGTCTGCCAGCCAGAGACCGTGATCACTTGCCAGCATGAAATGAGAGAGGCAGGGGACAGATTCCTCCTCGAAGCCATAGATGACAGCCACTGTGCCAACATCTTTCCAAATCTCTGGCCTCCAGAGCACTGAGACAAGTACCCGCGATTTAAGCTACGCACTGCATCCTTCGGGATGCCAGCCCCAGCATGGTCGGGCAGAATTCGACTTTGAGTTCTGCTGGATGGTCGCTTTTATAGCCCCCTGGTCCGGCCTACACAAGGGGAACTGACCATCCCAGCAGGGACACTGGAGACCGGATGCTGTTGAGCCCTTCACAGCTCACCTACTGGGAGACCCTGGGCAAGGCTAGAGCTCTCTCTCGGTTTCCTCCTTTCTGGTGAGGTAGAAATTGCTAAGTGCTCCCCCAGCTCAGGCACTTCACAGACAAACACGGGCTCCTTTCAAAGGGCATTATGTGTTTAGCAGGAGTGTCGTTTGTGAGATGCTGTACCAGCTAATGGATATGGAGAGTATAGAAAGAAAGGATGTGACATGCTGAGCCAGCTCTGGGCTGCTGTGACCAGTTTTTGCTATGAAAGGGCACTGAGGATGCTCTGGAATCCCTGGGCCTTCAGAGGGAGTCCAGGCTGGTAAATACAACTCCAACATGGGCTATCACATGCTACAGCATGGTCCTACTCTGCCACTGTGCCAGGATTTTCATGCCAGTCTCCACTACACATGTGATGATGACCAAAGCCACCACCTCTACCCTGGAAACAGAGCAAAGGACACGCCAAGACCAACAAACCATCTTCTTGGCCAGATCCTAGACACAGTCAAAGCTAAGATAAGAGATTCTTTGATGGAAGGCTGCTGTAGATATCTCTCTATATAAATAAAACACTGATGGCCAGTGACCAGACAGGAAGTATAGGTGGGACAAGGAGAGAGGAGAATTGGGGAAACAGGAAGAAGGAGGGAGAGACACTGCAGCCACCGCCAGGACAAGCAGCATGTAAAGACACCGGTAAGCCACCAGCCACGTGGCAAGGTATAGATTTATAAAAATGGGATAATTTAAGATAAAAGAACAGTTAGCAAGAAGCCTGCCACAGCCATACAGTTTACAAGTAATATAAGCATCTGAGTGATTATTTTATACTTGGATTGTGGGACTGTGGGGCTTGGTGAAACCTAGAGAGAAGCCCTCCAGCAACAGAAGGCTCAAGGCCTGCTTGGTCTACAGGATGAGTTCAAGACCAGCCTAGATGACTTAGCCGGCCTCTGTCAAAAAATTTATATAATAATAATAATAATTATTATTATTATTAACCTCCTCACCTGCCTAGGTAATTTTTGTTATGCAATAACTCAAAAATAAATATCTTGCCTGGGTGGTAGTGGTGCTTGCCTTTAATCCCAAAACTCTGAAGGCAGAGACAGGCAGATCTCTGTGAGTTGGAGGCCAGCCTGGTCTACAGAGCTGGCTCCAGGACAGCCAGAGCTTTTACACAGAGAAACTCTATCTAAAAAAAAAATAAATAAATAAATAAATAAATAAATAAACAAAAAATTAATAAATCTGTTATCCTAAATACTCTGTGTCTGTCCCAAATCAAGAAGTGGCCCAGATTCCAGGCCCTTTGGCAACCTGCAGATATCCAGTCCTCTCTACCACCTGGGGAGGTTTCCAGAGGAGCCAGCCTCCTCCTGTCCCTCCCTGCAGGCTGGATAGCCATGGGTAATTAAAATCAGGGCTGGATTATTGCAATATTTCTTGTTGGCAATGGAGGGGTTTGCTGGGGCAGGGCTCTAGTGTTGTTTGGAGCATGGAGATCCCTGCTTCTCCATGAGGGAGAAAATGGAGAAGAAGAAAGGAAAAACTACTCTCAATAATGACCTGGCCTGTCCAACAAAATCACGGGCCAGGCAGAAGCCCTTGATGAGGACCTCCAGGATCCGTCTGTGCCTTGGGCGGATGGCTGCATGTGAGTGGGAGAGCTCTTGGGGACTGAAGTGAGACATGCAAAACAAGGAGGGTCTCCCAGCTCCTTCCCACCTGAGCAGCTCTGCAGAAGACTTGGGCAAAGCTTGGCTGTGGCTGGACCTCTTTACAGGGGTGGAAGGATCGAGTCCCATAGGCCACAGCTGTCAGGGACTTGGTTCATGCTACAAAGCCCACCATCCCTCTTGCCTTCTTCTTACAAACAGGGACTGTGTAGCCAAGGGTGTCCTTGAACTTGGGACCCTCCTGCTACTTCCTGCTTGCTAGAATCATGAGTGTGCACCACAGCTCCCATTTTATGAGGCGCTGGGGATTGAACTCGGGGCTTCATGATTGCTAAATAAGCACTCGACCCACTGAACTAAATCCCAGTTCCAGAGCTCCTTGTATTTTTTTCAGTTTTAATCTTTTCATTAAATATATTTTTATTAATTCTTTGAGAACTTCATATAGCTTATTTTGATCATATTCATACCTACTCCTCTTAATTCCCTCCCATATCCACCCCTACCTCCCTAACCCCTTCCTAATTCATGTATTTTTTTTTTATCACCTGCTGAGTTCAGTGAGTGTGGAGCCATCCTCTGGAGCATGGTCAACCAACCCACACCCTTAAAGAAAATTGACTCTGCCTTCCCTACAAGTCATCAATTTCCTATCATTCCTCAGATATGGGTTGGGACTACTGAGCCCCTTCCTACAACCATAATAGAATATTGACTTGCTGTTCCTGAGCAAGTCTTGTGCAGGCAAGCCCTGGCTCTGTGAGCAGTTCATTATCTTACATTGTGATGACCAAGTAGAACGAACACTGGGTACCCAGTGCCCCTCCAGGGACTGTTGCTGGAGCTGGAGACAAAACCCAAGCTCAGTAAGTGAGGCAGCCAGGAGTTCTGCCCTTTCAGAGCTCACATGCTGACACACTGCTAGACAGCCACACCAGCCTCTGAAGAAATGACAACATTGTGGCTGAGACTCTGCCACCTGCTTATGAAGGGGCTGTACTGCCCCCATCCCAGTCCTGTAGGCTCATGGACAGCCAGGCAAAGAGGCCAGAAGGTTTTGAAGACCCTGATTCACTTTCAATGAGCTTTGTAACTTAGGCCACGTTACCTAGCTTCTCTGTATCACAAGATACTCAGTAGGACTGTGAGGTAAGACACTGAACTAGACCTTTGGTAACTGCCTGTTGTCATTATTGTCTAAAGATGATTGGACCATGTGTCATTAACTCCCACTTTCCCAGGGCCTCATCCTCTGTAATTTTCCTTCTCTCCAAAGTGCTCAAGACCACAGGTCTTTCTTTCTGTGAGGCAGGCCTGGCCCCAGCTGCCTGCCCTCCACTCCTATGACACCCTACAGCAGGAGAAAGCCAGCACTAGGAGTTGCTTTCTGGAAGATCCATCCCATCATCATGCTTACCAGCTTGCCTTGGGGACAGCCAGTCCAAGTGTGAACCAAGTTCTGCTACTTAACAACCGTGTGACCTGAGCCAGTCCAGAGGGTAGAGGTGGAGCTGAGGCCTGCCGCACAGGATGCTGGGAGAACTCTGCAAAGGAATGAGATGGGGTGCTTAGGATGGCCACCAGGAGAAGGGAGACGGATGTATGATAAACTCCTACAGGGAAGAGAAGCAGAGAAAAGCTCAGTATTTCAGATGCCATTCCTGGTCTAGTACAGGAAAACAGTCAACCCTGAGGAAGCCCTGAACTGGCTCACGGAATGGCTAAACTTGAACATAGAGGGGAACTGACCAGATTTGCAGCTGATATGGGTTGAATAGGCAAGATAATTGAACAAAAGTCTGGTCCAGAAATATTTTAAGAAGTAGGAGTAGAAGTCTGGCATGATGGTACACTCCTCTAATTCCTGCACTGGAGAAACAGAGAGACCAGCCTGTTCTACAAAGTGAGTTCCAGAACAGCCAGAGCTTTAGAGTGAGACTCTGTCACAAAAAAGCAAAACAAAAAAACAAAAGAAGATGAACTGTATGTGGTAGTTAACAGTGAAATGGATTTAAAATTTCCAAGTTCCGTGCCCAACACCAATGTCTCAAAAGCTGACAGTCTGCTCTGGGTAAGAGAGATATGGTTTAATATCATCAAGGTTTAAGAGAAGTGTGTGTGTATGTGTGTGTGTGTGTGTGTGTGTGTGTGTGTGTGTGTGTGTGTGTGTGTGTGTGTGTGCCACAGCACATATGTGGAGGTCAGAGAACAACTTTGAGGAATCAGTTCTCTCTGTCCACATTTACACGTGTTCCCAGGATTGAACTGAAGATGCCGGGCTTCTGTAGTAAGTGCCTTTACCGGCTGGGTTATCTCACCAGCTGTCTGCCATGTTTTTGAGATGCAGTCCCTCACCACTTTGCTAGACTGGCTGGCCAGGGAGCTCCAGGGGCCTGCCTGTATCCTGCTCCTATTCTAGCACTGAGGTTAGAGGCAAGCACTATCATGCCCAGGTTTATGTAGGTGCTGGGGGTCTGAACACAAGTCCCCGTGCCTGTAAAACAAGCCCTGTACTGACTTAATCATCTTCCCACCCCCTAGACCTGAAATTTGCAATCAAGAAATTATCTGAGTGTCCCAATCCATCAGTAAACAAAGAGTGAGCTTTAAAAGGCCAAATGAACAGCATGACCTCCTAAAAGTTATTGCTAACTTAGGCCTCATTACTTGATGTATAGGGTCTACAATAAAGAAGGTGGGAAAAAGTAAAATATTTATTTCATTTGTCAAGAAGGATACAATTAGCATGATCTGGAAACAGATGCCAGAGGAAGTAGGAGAGTCCAGGATGACCCAATAGAATCGTTCAGCATGTACCTCCTCTCTACGGAGAAGACTCAAACAGCAGGTGGACAGCTGCATTTTGAGGTAAGTGACCGGGAAAGAGTGCTGAAACGCATTGTTCCAAAGGGATGAGAGGTACTGCTGACTGAGGTAAGAGACTGTGAAGCTCTGCTCCTGCTCATGCTGAGTTAGTGCAGTTCTCACAGGGCTGAGACACTTACAGAAGGACAAACTCTGCTCCCTCCTCCTGCCTCTATGGGCTCACACAGCAAGAAGGCTTTCAGTAGATGCCAACCCCTCAGTCTTGGCCTTCCTACCTCCATAACTTGGGGGGTGAATTCCTAGCCATCTCTAGTTATTTCACAGTACCCTATTGTTTGTGTAGTGCATGGCAGACCCATGGGGTATTTTCCTGGGTCTTCCTCCTTTTGGGTGATAGGAAGTCCAACCTATAAAGGTGCCATGGACATGGTGTCCCAACCAGATCCTCAGAGCTCTGTGTCCTGTAACACCTGTCTCTACTACTTCTTGCTCATCTGTTTTGTCTTTATGTTGATGATATTCCTAAATCCATAAACCAGTGTGCTAGTCTACCAATTATCTAGTTGGTTGACCTCCTGGAATAGTTGATGGAGAACCAGAATGTTAACTGACCCTGTTGAAGATCTCACTCCATGAGAAGGGGTCTTCCTATGGTACCCTTGTTAGACAGAGAACAGTCATCATATACCACATGTCCAAGGCTGTGATTATCTTCAGCAGCCTAACTAGTGTTACAGCAGGGTCCTCTGATCAGCTCTAAGAAGTCACTGACACCCATCTTCTAAGCCCAATACCCTTTGGGTAGGCTCTGGATAGTCAATTAAGTGTGCATCTCTCTAACTGTGGCTGGGATAACCCTGGTACCAACTCAGAGCATCTGTGATCCTCACTACACAGGCCCTAAAAGGCCTAGACAGTCACCACCATGCTGTGGGATGTTAATGTATGTCCTGTGGGAGCCCTTCTTGGGTTCCTTGTGGCGTTGTTCAGCAGGTTTGCATAGAGGATGATTAGGACCATGGGCCTGAGTGCAGGTGTCTGAGATGGTCTGCACTTGGCTGTACTGGGGGATGGTCTGTATGTCAAGTTG